TGTATTGACACTGCGAAGATTTTGATTAACAGCATCCATCCAAAATGGAAACCGACCACAGAAGCTGACGATCTGTGGGAAAATGGATCTCTGACGCCCGAAAAAATCGAGTTAAATAAACAGCCGATTCAGACCGGTGAAATCATGATTTTTGATCCCAACTTCATATTGGACAACATTGAGCGAGGATTCCGAATCTTTGCATTCGAAGACACCTTGAACGAAATATCAGCCAGGAAATTAACCCTCCTTGGGCATGAACCTACCCTCTTGACAATATTTTTCCATCCTCACATTCAACATGCTGGTAAATTCAACGCGCAAATACACCTGACTGTCATGTCTGTTACTGACAATCAGGAGGATCACAAGCTTCTTCTATTGACGTTTGACAAACCTAACATTCCACATTCTTTTCAAAGTGCTCTTTTAGGTGGGCTTCTTGTTGGAATATATTGGCTGGGCCGATGGGGCCAGTGCGAGCAGCACGAAGCTCGTGATCCCTACGGATGGCCTAGACTCACTTACCTAATGATTCCAAGACATTGTCCTTGTTTATTCCCGTGTACGCCATCCGTTTGCCTTCGTACGACCATCATGTACCCATAGGACAAACTGTTGGAAATCGTCCGCTTTCGTACTGCTCGATGACTTCGCTACTGATATCTAATACGTACAAACATCATGTACTGGATCTGCAATCTTAGCGTTCCCCCTCATCTGCGGGTCTGTCCGAGTCCGTTCGAGTCCTCTAGGAGTCCCATTTCTAACAGGTTATTGGCCCCCGCGTCTACACCTTCGCTACGAGTCTATTCTGAGCACTAAAACACCCTCACCAATCGCCACGTCATCACCTCCACCTTACCCCCGCCTTTCGACATCTTCTTTTGGCCGCTTCTCAGCTTCTTTTTAATCATGACTACACCATTCTCCCTTCTTACTCTGGCCCAGACTGTCGAAGAACTCACTTCTGACAATTGGCACGCTTTCAAGGACGAGATTCTCATCGTCTTCAATGCTGATGGGGAATCTGCTGGAATCATCGATGGCAAAACCCCCAAACCCACAGAGGCCCTTGCTGCCGCTGCCTGGGATAGGAGGGACAAGGCTGCTATGTCGATCATTTGGGCTCGCATGTCCAAAGATCTTCGCTCACTTGCTAAAGGCATCACCTCTGGCTCAGCCCTCTATGCCAAGCTGAAAGCCAAATTCGAGGCTTCCACCTGGTCGCGTCGCATTTCTCTCCGCACCGTGTTTCACACTGTAACCCACGACACGTCCCTGCCCGTGGAAAAGTATGTCGACAAGGTCACCGAAATTCGTGACCAGCTCATCGCACTGGGTGAACCCATATCCGACAACTATTACAAGGATGTTCTCCTTGCGAACCTCGACCCTCTCTATGTCAGTGTTCGCAACACCCTACTTTCCCAGCCTGCTGGTGAAAGCGACCTTGACTCCGTCAAAGCCGTCCTTTGCGGTGCTACCTATATCACCCCAACTGGCAACCAAGTCAAGACGGAATCTGAGGAGACAGCCCTCGCAGCCCGTAGCGGTGGTGGTGGTAGAAAGGTGTTCACGTCGAGTGGGAGTGGTCACGGGAATCCCGGACATCGCGATCGTGATCGCGCCGCTCACACCTCTAGCGGTGATGGGCAAGTTTTTGGGAAGGATGACGAAAAAGGTTTTCGTTGGTGCGATCCCACTCACGAGGATCATTGTCATCGCTGCGGTCGGCGGAACCACATAGCCGCTCAATGTGTTGCAGATATGCCGAAGGAGATCAAGGCTTGGGTTCTCGACCGTCCTGGCACTAACGAACATTCACATGCAGTCCACGAAACGTATGTGGCACATTCATCTTTCTTGCCTCGTCGCCGCCGCCCCTCTCCTTCCCACATTCATTCCAATTGGCGTTCGGACATTCACGACTGCGATTCCGACTAGGTATTGCGACAACCAGGAGTGCGGATGCCACGACAACTCGGATTTGGAAGAAGATCAAGTCGACGTTGGAGTTGTTTATGAAGCTTTTCTTTGATTGAGTGGGAGCATTTTTTATTTCTCTCCTGCTTTTATTTTTGTTTCAGTGGGAGCTTGCTTATCTCGCAGAGTGGGAGTGTTGGAAATCGTCCGCTTTCGTACTGCTCAATGACTTCGCTACTGATATCTAATACGTACAAACATCATGTACTGGATCTGCAATCTTAGCGTTCCCCCTCATCTGCGGGTCTGTCCGAGTCCGTTCGAGTCCTCTAGGAGTCCCATTTCTAACACAAACATATTCACCTCTTTGTTGCTGGCTTCTCTCTCTTGTGCTTGTTAAGCTATAGCCTCACTGGGATTATTCCAACACTTCTATATACATTGCAACACTGCACAAAAAATCAACCTCTTCTAATTTGTGCCTCCTCTGATTTTTTGCTGCATGCTCTAGTTAAGGACCGGAAACGTTATGAAATGGATATACTGAACCCCTGCTTTGATTTACTGCAGGCGGTCTTAGCGGCTTTGAAGGAACACTCGGCAAGAGTCCAATTCAAGAAAGTTGAGTTAAACCCAGCCAAACACTCTCTGAGTCCGACTAAAATTGAGACTGAGATTGGGATTATTCTACTGAGAAACCCGGTTTTCAATGGAAACCCCCCAAAAAAATGGTGTGTTATTTGGAAACCCGTATTCTGGGGGTTTCTCCCACCGGCGGCGGTCCGAAAATTTGGCCCGCGGACCAACCATCACTGATGTGATCCATGGACACCTAAAGAGGAATAACATTCAATCTGAGCATTCAAGACTCTTGCCACAAGGGTGTTGCAATTCTATCTCTGGGCAAATTATCCCAGTCATCCTAGAGTGATTTTCCCCCTCCTGGCGTCATAATGCACACTTAAATGTCCTACCAACTCGTGATCTCTTCGGCGGAGGGCAGCCTGAGACTCGGAGTCTTCTGACTCTGCCCGAGGTTGCAGTCCAATGTGAGCTGTGGGTTGAAACTGGGTTCTGGGCTAGTCAAGGCCTGATGCCAGTATTGAGCACAAAAAATTGCGACAGATAAGTAAGCAGAAACAGGCCCAAACCCTATTTTTAGAAGTATGTACTACTTGGCTGGAACTGAGGGAAAGTGCATACAGTATTTCTTTAGAACATTGAATAAATTAATATTGTCTCTGTAGTCCAGCAGACTCTTAAGCCTCTTCGCCTCTGGAGCTTATGTGGAAATTGACGGCATAGATGGGGTGTTGGTTGATTTGGATCAATTGATCCGGTGGCCTTGATGTGCCGCCGGAGGGGTTTTCAATTAGACCGTTTGGTGGGGTCTCTCGGCTAGGGGGGTTTCCATTGAAAGCCGGGTTTCTCATTAGAATCATCCCTGAGATTGATACAGAAATTGACTTGATGTTCAACTGCCCGGGGATCCCATTGTATTGTGGCTCACAACGACTTTTCACAAAAATAATCAATAGCTTGACCTCGATCCCCCTCCGTAAAACAACCTTTACCAACCTCACACGGGTTCGTTGCGCAGTCCAGGAAATTTCTCAGGTTACCCCGACTGACAAGATGGTATGGAAATCGATTCGAATGTCGACCTTCCAACGTCTAACACGTGAGGAAATGCATCCATAACATATTCAGAGTCGGAGATTTCTGGACACACATCCAACACTCGGAAATTTTTGGACGTTGTCATGTCTGCGACGTACCGGAAACGTTAGAGCATATTGCCTTAGAATGTAACGCACCTGAACGAAATTTAATTTGGAATCTCACTCAACAACTCTGGTCTAGGAAATACTTAGATTGGCCGAAATTGAACTGGGGCTTGGTATTAGGATGTAACCTGGTCCAGTTCAAGACTGCGAGTGGTAAAATATTACCAGAAAAAGGCCGGCTGTTTGCTATCTTAATATCGGTAGCCTGGCATGAGATTTGGAGGTTGCGAGTGGACAGAGTCCTAACTCATCCAGGTAAAGTTCACTCAGAGCTCACAATTTATACCCAATGGCTGCGATCTGTCAAAGCATCGATGAGTCGAGATCGGATTTTGACAGATAAGATAAGATTTGGAAAGCTATCTTTCAATAAAGAATTAGTATTGAACACCTGGAGTGGTCTGTTTTTGAACGAAGAATCACTGCCGGATGATTGGACTTACACAAAGGGGGTTTTAGTGGGTATACAGCCGTATACTGTGAGAAATGGCATTGGTTAATATTTTGAGGCTGGAGTCCCACACTCATAATAATCGTGCGTAATGGCATTTCCTCCTGGACACCCTCCCCGGCAACATCTGGTCCACCACCAGAATTAAAAGCGGATGACGCTTCTGATGCCTGAGTATCGTTAGGTTTAGACCCAACGCTCCAAAAAAAAAAAAAAAAAAAAAAGTCGAGCTATTGAAAAATGGAAGGGTATCATGCCCAAGGGTTAGAGTTGCCCCGATATCGGTGTAGTACCCACGAGCTATGCTGCTTTGAAAGATCACCCGCTAAGATGGATGGCAGATAGCAGCCAAGTCTTTAATAAGTACAGTACGATTACTGAAGCTGCAAACTTGGCGCACGTTATCACAAAGCCTTGCACAAGTATGTATACTGAGATACGCTCACAGGCTGTTCCGTTCTCTCATCCTAAGTTCTGCGTTTCTATAGCTCCGAGCCCGCCCTACCTTCAGTTATCACCGAGTAAATCTGATCATCATAGCTCAGAACTTTGGAGAACTTGACATTCTGCGGTGATCGAAGTATGAGAGATCCGCAGAATAGGGTTTGCGGATGAGCCCCGTCGTCGATCGAATATATCCCTGTCCCATACCACCACGACGTCGACTCGCCACACACCCATTCCACACAATCTGAGCCCGCCCTACCTTCAGTTATCACCGAGTAAATCAACTTTCCTCGTTACCCACTCAAAATCGTGGACTTGGTGCATTTTTCTTCTTTTTCCTTCATCAACTCGGACTACACATCTTCTCCGTCTTCAGGATGGCTTGTATCTCCGAATTGGTGTAGTGGTTAACATTGCCGCCTCTCAGGAAACTTACGTAATCAATTACGTGATGTCCGCGGCAGCCAGGGGTTCGATTCCCCTATTCGGAATTCTTTTGCAAATTTTTCACCTACTTTCAAGTCATCCACTTTGGGGTGACTAACACCGCTCATTTTTTCAGGAAGTTGTCCAGTTGGATGTTGTCTACTGGATATCTGTACTACACCAACTTGAATAGGCAAATAGTAATCATTATATTGAATTGTTTGCGCAACAGCCACTCAGTGGCTGTTTTGGTGTGCGCACGAGTGGCTCAAATGGCTGGGATAACTGATAATATTTTCGGTTGAATACACTCATTTGTAAGTGTTAATACTCATGTACAGGCACCCAATCATCCTCTTACTAAGTTGCTTTAAACAGGGGTGACTACAGTCCAAAATAATACATTTCCCAGAATTTTGTATCTCAATGAGGTTGAGGCCAGTTTTCTCGCTTGTACACACACATTTGCACTTTATCTGGTCTCATTCTGGCATGAACAGATAACAAATTGGATAATGTCCATCAGCCATTCGAGCCACCAGCCACCTATGTGCGCACGGCAAAGCAGCCACTGGGTGGCAAACTCTCTATTGGATCCAGATTCAGAGTGCTTTGGAGCTGTCATTTTCTTTGGGAGCAGAAGGAGCGAGGGAACATTGGATTATCTGCAAATGAATTAAACCTGAAGGGAATGTAGAGAGGTTGTGCTGAAACCATCTTTATCTTCCAATGTTCCATTCCCACGGTTCAATTTCGGCCCCTAACATCTCAGATTCTCTCTCCGATCTTGATGTATCAAACTGAAAAGTGTGACCAAACAAAGAGACACTGCATACTATGTGAGATCTGCTACCTGTTCCATGAATCCTGAAGTTACTAGACAGGAGGAAACAAATAACTCCATGTCTTTCGGCTCACTGATTTAAGGCATCCCTCTTTTCATCATACACTAATTGTACACATTATAATATTATGCAACGAAATTTGTTGACCTCAGCCAGGACCCCCGATCATACCTTTGGAGGTCGAATTCAAGATATGAGGCATAGTTCGTTTTGTCCGAACTTTTGTCAGACCTATGCTCAAAATTTTTATCTGAATTCCGGATCTGACCTGGGTCTGCCCGAAATATTGTCTGAACTTTGGACTCAACCCATTTTTTCTCCGTCTATTTTGGCCGATGTGATGAATAAGAGCCTGTTCGGATCATCCTGAAAACTTTGGTTTTCGAGGATTTACGGACCTGGGCCCGGTGAGCCGATGAGCCGATGTCTCGCTTGTTGCTAGGGTGACTCGGCAATGATTCGGCCTATTCATTCGATATAGACCTTCCTCATCGTTGCCCGCCGCCCGCCGACCCCTCCCGCCCTCCCGCCATTTGATGCAAATGCAAGAACTCGAGTGTCAGCTATTATTTCAAATCATAAACTACTCTACATATATCTACTGACCCATATATTGATTACACTCGAAGTGCACCATCATTTAGGTCACTTTCAAAACTTGAGAAAGGCGGTTGGGAATGGGGACGATGAGGAAGGGGAGTTCATCGTCGGCGTACAGACTGCATCATGTGGGTCAGAGTATTTCCGGATATCAGTGATGATTTGACACGCGCAAACCATAACCGAATGCCGCGGGGCCGAAATGCTCGAAATTTTGGAAAGCAAAGTTTTCAGGATGATCCGAACAGGCTCTAACTTAAATTTCCGTGTCCTTGTGACTGTACTTATTTCTCTTCTCGTTCACAGCTCTTAGGTGACATCAATTACCTTTGTCTCTCTGGTTGCTCACCGGAACGGGCTTTTCCTTGGTCCGCACGATCCTTCATACAGCTTGAAAACGGAACGGACTCATCCTTGTTTGGCTTATTTCTGGGTATCTGCCGGCAAAGATTGGGTAGGTATTTACCCTCGAATTTCCTCGCTCATCACCGCCTATATTCCATAGTCTCACTCCGGCTTCCTTGCCTTTAACACCATACACGGCCATGCCCCGAACATAACTCCCGCCCCACCCCACTTGCTATTCACCTCCGTCCATCCCAACTCCCTAAGCACTGCCTCATATCCGCCCACATACCCAGCCAAATCCACAATCACCACATACCCTCCTGGCATACACACCCTCGCCATCTCCGCCACGGCCTTCCTCCTCCCCTCCTTATCGACATTATGCACCGCGAGACTGCTCGTTACGATCCCAAATACCCCATCCTTAAATGGTAGTGTCTCTGTAAAACTTGCAGTGTGTAAAATAACTTGGGAGGTGAAGCCCGCGGCAGCGACGTTCTGCCATGTTGCCTCGGGAGCATTGCCAGTTTGGTCGCCAGTGCGGAAGATATCGATGCCGTAGGAGGTGCTGGTGGTGTGCCCGAGGGAATGCTTGTGCACAGTAGTTTTGAGAAGGACTAGGCCACGGCCGCAGCCGGCATCGAGGGTGGGGTGGGCAAAGGCAGTGGATGGAAGGGAGGAGAGGAGGCTGGTCCACAAATCGTGTTTCCCTTTGAGAGTGGCGTACAACTAAGATGTAGGTTAGTGGTTTCAAGTGAGAGGCGTGGGGGGTTTGTGTACATAGAGCGGGGAGAGGGCGAAGGAAGTGACCAGTCCGAGCGGTGAGTCGATGCCAAAGGATGGTTGGGTGGGCACGGACGGCTTGGTGGAGCTGGCGTTCATTGCGGCGATGTGGTCAAGGGGCGGGGAGAGAGAGGTGTACACTAAGGTCGACATAGGTAAGGAAAACAATGCTGCGATGTTAAAAATATGAGAAAATGGGAAGTCGGCGATTGAAGTCGGGCCCAATTGCAACGGCGGGAGGCACGGCAATTATGTAATATCAATATGGCATGTCTCGGCTGAACTCGATCGAATCGCGATGTGAGTAGTTCACTAGTCTCTTATAAACAGACGCTACAACAGTTGAGGTGCTCGTGCCTCGCATGTTGTAGTCTGTCGATTACCCGCCATTCGTGATCGGAGATCGACCTTGTTACATAATCTTGAATTTTCTCGGATGTCGTTCGCAGCAATACCACCTCTGTTTACGCGTTTTTACGTTGAATTGTCGTGAAGGGCCCCATAGTAAACGTCATCTCCAGCTAAAATTTCCTCAACGAGTTCGAAACCAACTAGATGAATTTTCGCTTAGCGCACCACGTGATTAGAGAAGTATTTCTACCACCCTCAGGGGAGCCGGGAGAATAAAATCTGAGGATACAGTTGGCTTTAGAATAGTAATAAATGTCGAATGGCTTCCAAACTTTGTGGATTGAGAGCCAGAGAAGAGGGCAAGAGCCGAGCAGAAATTCAAACTCCGCACTTTACGTAACAAGGTCGATCTCCTTACATCTGGCGCGCGGTAAACTACAGACTAGTAGTTCATCAGCAAACCCTGGATTTGACCATAGTTGGCCATAGTTGGCTGTAGTTCCCATAGTTGCCATAGGACTCTGTAGTGGTCTGTAGTTTTCAGTCAAAGCTACATAGTTGTACATAGTTTTGTGGCCAAGCTGCATAGTTTCCCATAGTTTTTTTTTTCTTTTCCTGTAGGCACCTGAGCCTCAAGGCAGTTCAGAACTGCACTTAGATTTCAACAAGCCACAGTATTTCATTGTTACAGAACCAAAATTCTTGACAAAAATATACATAGTCTAGCTCATCTGTCAGGATGGTGTTCAGAATAGCTCTATGAATTTATTTTGTGTTTTGCAGCTGAGGACGAAGCAGACAGTTGTTGTTGGGAAGGAGGTAACCCCTTATACTGAACAGCTCACCACACTTTGCAATGGTTGTGTTGCTGAATGGTTATGCTGCAGCTTTGTGTTATGACACCCGTCCCCGGCGGTCGCCGGTTCGACTCAGGCGAGGCGCACCTTATTCGCTAGTCAATACTTGTCAAGTTCTCCCCAGAGCAACATAAAGAGTCCTGACCACCTTGTGGGTGAAAGGGAAGCAGACATAGTTTTCTTTGGTCACCCTTTTCTTAAAAAGCTTCGGAAACCACCAAACTACACAGAACTATGTAGCACTCCTGCCAAACTATGGAGAACTATGGAGAACTATGGAGACCTATATAGAGGGTACCCTTCCTATGGTAAATACAGCAGCTATGGCAACTATAGGAACTATGTAGACCTACGTAGCACACCCAGGGTTTGCTGATGCCTTCACAGGCTTGCACACAAACATACCTACATGCCGCTTGCACGGGAGTGCGCGCTGATTTGCTGCCGGTCGGACAGGAATATTCGCTCGCGGATCTGTTCCACTTCGCCCATGCGCCCCGGCTTGCGGAAAACGGGATAGATATCATGACGAGCAAGAGCCGCCCCAATGTCACTCGAGTCGCTGGGTGCTTCTTTCCGTTGACAGAGGACATGGTTTATTGACACGTCCTCACGTCAGTTGGTGGAACGAGTTCACGTCCGGCGTGGGCTAAGCTGACAGCAGATTTTGTTAGGGTCGCGCGGTCAGGACTGGGAATTAGATCCAATACTGAATTATGAAGAGGCCAACCTCACAATTTGGACTGTCGGCTGTTGTCAGAGGAACATCAAATACATTGTGAATTTCTTGAACCATGGGCCCGTTGCGGACTTCCGCGGGGCCGCATGAACGCAGTGATTAATATGTTGAGAGAATCAATGGAATTTGTCCACCACAGCCGAGGTTGTCCAAATTGTGGCATCCGAGCCAGAGAATCGGAAATGAGCCCAAATATCAACTTTCATCGGCTATAATTGAGGTACGTTGTACAGAGCCCGCAATGTAAATACCGAATGGGCATCTCAGTGATGTTCAATTGAAATCTGCTCTTACATGGTCCTCGACACAAAACCGAGCATCAACGCCTCTGCATTCAGCAGACCATGTACAGTGGTTCTCATCAGATTCGAGCTCTTCGGACGACCATCAAAGCATTCACGGTGTTCAGGATGCAGAAATTAAATTCCCGTGCCATTCTAATTGTATTTCTCTTCTCGTTGCCAGCTCTTAGGTGACATCTCAAAATCTCAAAATGCGTCGGTGGCAAAGTCAATACTTTTGTCCTGCATAATAGCGCGTAG